CTGTTGTACCAGGAGGGCTCCTTGCCCTTTAGCTGTTAGTCACCCCATACCTTCTACAACACACAAGCCTGCCCCATGTCTGGCAGTAACTAAAGGTATGCTCTGGTAGATAGGGCAGTAAGAGGGTTGCTGGTTTAAAGAACTCTGGACCCATAATGGGCAGAGCCTAATTCAAGTTTTGGTTCCACCTCTGTGACTGTACAGGTTACTTATCTTTTCTAGATATTTAAAAGTAATTGATCTCTTGGTTTCTACCAAGATCTAAAAATCTCTGGATTTATGAATATAAGATTCTAATTTTATCATTTAGCAATACTTTTTCTCTTATTTGGTGTTGAAATTACAAGGTTATCAGGAAGGGCCAATCTATTCACCTAATAAATATGTATTGCATGCCAGTATATGTCAGGCACTGGGGCAGGCACCAGAGCTGCAGAAGAAAACAGGATTAACAAGGGTGCTAGGCCCTTGAAGTTTTTATTTGGGTTGAAGGTAGATGAAGCTGGGGAAACAAAGAAGGAACCAACAAATAAGCAGTTACAGGGTAAACAGGGCTATGAGAAAGGAAACAGGGAAATGGAGCACTTTGGATGTACATAATGGTCAAGAGGAGGCCTCAAAGAGGCCTTATGATTTAGAAGGATGAAAAGGACCTAACTATGTTCATTCCCTGCACGAGGACCTGCAGGTTCAAAGGAAGCATGAAAGAAACTACCAGAACGGCTTTCTGGCTGGAGCTTGGGTGAAGTTGGAGATGCAGGCAGGGACCAGGTTGTGCAGGACTTTGTGCAGCCTTGTAAAGATGCTGGGTTTTTATCTAAGAACAATGGGGAGCCTCTCAAGTGTTTTAGAAAAGGTTGAGGAGGCTCAGGCTAGGTAGGTGGCAGCAGAGTCAGAAAAGTGGATTTTTCAAATGCCACTTTATCAGTGGAGGCTTCTAGACCACCCTGTTTAGAGTAACACTCCAATGAACCTCACACAGCCGGCATTCCTCATCCTCCTACTCAATTTTTCTCCATAGTACTTATTTCAATACAACATACTATATATTTTATTTGTAAATTGCAAATAAAGTTTACTCCCTCCCCAAAACCGAAAAACCAAACCCCTTGCCACTGAGTCGATTCCGACACATAGTGACCCTATAGGACAGACTAGAACTGCCCTATAGGGTTTCCAAGGCTGTCAATCTTTACAGAAGCCGACTGCCACATCTTTCTCCCACAGAGCAGCTAGTGGGTTCGAACTGCTGACCTTTTGATCAACAGCTGAGCACTTTAACCACTGTACCACTGGGTTACTTTACTCCCCCGCAGAAGAATGTAAATTACACGAGGGCAGGGTTCTTTCCTGTTTTCTTTACTGTTATTTCCTAGCACCTCATACTGTGCCTTGCACAAAGCAAGCTCTTAATAAATAATTGTTGAATGGATGGATTTCGTAGTTATTTTGGATTTTGATTCCATAGAACTTGCTGGTGATTTCGTTGTGGTGGTGTGAGAAAAGGAGAAATCAAGCACGGTTCTCAATTTGGTGGCTTGAAAATTGAGTAGATACTGATATCAATAAGAGAAGGCTAGGGAAAGAACAATCGGGAACTGGGGTAGGGAAGATTGAAAGTTCTATTTGATACACATTAAGTCTGTGATATGTGGATTAGTTATTTATTGCTGCATAAAAAATTATCCCAAAATTTAGTAGAGTAAAACAACAGACATTTGTTATCTCAGTTTTTGTGGGAGGATGGCTCAATTGAGTTGTTCTGGCTCAGGGTCTCTCATGCAGTTGCAGTCAAGCTGTAGGTCACGGCTGCAGCTATCACAAGGCTTAACTGGAGCTGAAAGATCCACTTCCTACCTTTTTCATATGATCATTGACAGACTTCAGCTGTCTTTTGGCTCAGACTTCAGTTCCTTACCACATGGACCTCTCTACAGGGCTGCTCAGGACATGCCTTCCCCCAGAGCAAATAATCAAGGAGTGAAAGAGAACTCAAGTTGGAAGCCACAGTTTGTTTGCTTGTTTGTTCGTTTGTTGGAACCTATGTTATTCATCATACAGACCAACCCTGGTGTAATATGGGAGGGGAGTGTGAATACCGAGATGGGGGATTTCTGGAGTCCATTGTAGAAGCGACTGACCACAAGGTCTATGAACTGTCCAAGTGGAAATGTCATATAGGCTGTTGAGTATATTATTCTGTAGCTCAGAGGAGAGATTATCTGAGCTACAGCTGATTATTTGGAAGTAATCAATCATGATATGTGAAGTTAATGGAAATGTATAAGAAACCGCAGGGAAAGAAGTTAGATAAAGAAAAGGCTCCTGGACCCAGTCGGAGGAACCCAACATTTAGAGGTCAGTGGAGGAGGAGCCAGCAAAGGAGGAATGCCAGTGAGGCAGGACAGTGTGTATTCTGGGAGCGACTTTACTGAAAGGTAGATTTCACTGGACAAGTTTCCCCTTCCCAGTGAGGGACAGAAAATACCTCAAATAGGGCTG